AACCGCTCTCCTTTCTGGTCTAACCCTATGTACCCGGGGCAACCCGCTCGAAAAAACCGCAGAAGTCGACCTAAAGATTTCTGCCGGCTCCAGCGGGCCGTGGCGTGGCGCAGACCTCCGCTCTCTATATAAGCATCACCCACTTACCTGCGCCGTGCGCGCAATCCTGCCCTCGGGCCATGCCCCAGCTCTAAGTGACTTTCTCACCTTTCTCTCATTTCAGGATAAATGCCTGAGGAAAATCTCCAGCGGGCTTTATACATTTCAGACGTACCTCGAATACGTCCAAGAAACTTTTACTAGCGAAAAGCAAAACATGGAATCGCTGTACTATAGTACACAGCACCTGGCACATACCTTAAGACAGATGGTGAGTTGGTTTTAAATTCACTCGGGTAATTGTGATGGCTTAGCCATCAGACACGCTGATGTGTAGTCAGAGAAAGGGGATGCTATGTGAAGCTGAACACTTCCCGCTTTCATTTCTCTCTTCAGAAACAGGTGATGGTTCCTTATGCTCAGATACTTAACCTTATGACTAACTTACAGGTTTTACAACATTTTGTTTTCGTTTCTCTTTAAGAAACAACCCTTCTTCCTACTTCCTATCGTTATTTCTAATTTCCAAACCAACAATTAAATGCGTCATATTGTTTTAAGAACAAATATACTAATGCTGCCTGGCTGATAGAAATAAGATTTCTCAGGGCGCTTGTCCCTAATTGTAGAACTGCAGTTCAGTCCCAGCCTTCTAATAATGCAACTTCCTGAGAAATAGAAAGAAGTAACTTTTTTAAAAAACCCACATAAATAAAGGCAAATGCATTTTTACAATATTATTAATCTTTAAAACTCTCCAAACCAAACTTTTAAGCCAAGCTGTATGGTATATTGAGATATCAGTAGCTTTAAAAGCAAGGAAGACAGTGAAATTCAGAACACAAGTTAAAGCTTGACTGAATAAAAGGTGCTGCCTATTGAAAAGCACACATTTTCCTTGCAATCATCATGGGAAAAAAAAAAAAAAATCTTCCTTCTTTACAAATACCCAGTTCTTTTTTGATTCGGTAAACTAAATGCTATTCATTTCTAACAGTCATTTTCTATGTTTTGGAGAGCTTTGAAAGATGACACTTCAAAAATTCACTTCATTCCTGCAGTTCTTACTCACATTAATAACCCTTAACATGAATACTTCCTTTGTCATCAGGGAAAATACTCGCCTGAGTAAGAACCACCCAGGTAAGGACTGCAGAAATCTCTGGGCATTATTTCCTTCAAGGCACTTTTTTTTTGGTGTCTGAAAAGCCCATTGTGTGTTTGCCATACCTTTCCTAACATATTTATTTATGTCCAACATTCTTCAAGTGAAAGGGAGCTGAACTGCTTTTTTCACACTGTGCTAGCTAAGAAGAATAGTCCTGTCATAAGACAGCAACTGACTACTGGCCGCCGACTTGATCTATTAGTTCACAGAAAGTTTGTTTCATAACTAGGGGAGACCAGCTTTTTTGGCAAATTAGTAGGATTGAGGTAATTGGAACAGGCAGAATTAAACACAGTGATGAAAAGCAAAACCTGTACTTGTAGAAACTACAGAGTTTTTGAGAAAGAGAGGAGACTTGATCTCCAGGTTGGAATTTTTTCTTTATGAGAGGAGTCTATCTGCTGTTTAAGGCAAGGAGAGCAAGGTCAGAATCTGTCACTTGTGCTCACGTAGATCCATCAGCACGATACCTCTCTGGATATCCAGATACAAACTTTTACAGCGTGCAACAAGGAGGCGGATATACCAGTAACTGGGTGTGTGATCAGAATCCACGTCCAAGTAGCCTGGACAGAAAAACTATTCATATCTTACTGAATTTCACAAAAAAGATGTTCCAGAAGGAGGTGCACGTGCTTTTGTCACTTGTTAAAGGGTAGGAGAGATCCTAAACTCAGGATGAAGCAGATACTTTACTGTTAGACTTCTAGACCACAAATCAGCTAAAGCAGCTCCACGATTTGGGTGAGCAACTCCCATTTTCAGAAGCTTCTTATCCACTTCACGGGACAAATTCTTAAAAGGCATTTAGGCACCGGGTGCCAGCGCTGTCAGTCAGCATTAGGCACATAGCTCCTTTTACTCATCTTGCTGTTCGGATCCCACGCAACAGTGAAAGCTGGTGACAGCTTCCCACGTGCATGAATGCCTGGAAAGTAAGAATTAAGCAGCTAAACAAGTTTGACGTCTAGAAACTGCTACTGTACTACAAAATGCGAGAGTACTCCAACATCATCTAATTAGCTTCTGACTCAGGATGTAGCAGCCAGTACAGGTTAGGACGGATCATGTTCAGCATCTTCCCAACCACGCGGTCAGCAGGTAGCAGGTGAGGCGTATTCATCCGCTCAGTGCGGCACGTTGGACCGCGACGCCAGACGTTGCGCTCGAACCAGAAAAAATGGTATAGATCAGACGAGACCCTTTGATTCTTCTGCAGTAGTTGTAGCAGGTGTCAAGGTGCCTCAAAGCCCACCGCAGAAGCGGGGCCGTGGGGAAGCACAGATCCCAGGGAGGGCTGTCGGCAGCAATACAGAAACAGCAGACACACAGCTGGTCAGGAATATATTCTACATATAAACTGATGCTCTCCAACAAGCTCAGTTACAATGTTTTAACCAGGGCACCTCAATATTGTCTTTTTCCACAGGTGATAAACCCCGATGAAGTGATCATCCCAGACTCAGCAACCCAGCGATCCCTCCGCGCAAAGCTGAAGTCCGATAAGACCTGGATAGAGAAAATCACCACCCACCTCATCCTCCGAGACTTTACTTCGTTTATGGAGAAAACCGTGAGGGCTGTTCGCTATTTGAAAAATAACAGGAGTTTCAGTGTCTGAATGTTTTAATTCAGGCACAATCCTCTGTTACAAATCTGTCATGTGGCAGATGACAGTGTTGTTCTGTTTTAAGAACCAGGAATAGTAACAATGGTTTGCATTTTTATATATTCTCATTTCCTTCTAGGAACCTATTTATTCTATTTAAAGTATTTATTTGTTTCTAGTGTTTCCTATTTATATTTTCAATATTTAGAAATAATTTAAACAAAGGACCTATTTTATTTCATTTCTAATGGTACTACAGAATATCAACTTATTTAACCTGTATTCAACCAAAAACTATTTTCAGAAGCCAGAAAAACTGTTGTGTAACTTATACTTTTAAAATACTTCAGAGATGGTATCTATGACTTATTTATATTTTTAGAACAAATAAAAGTTGATTTTTAAAAAAACTGTTTAACGTGTTTGAACTTTAAATAAGACTAAGGAACTCTGATGTATCCAATTTTTAATACCGGCAGTTATCAAAATAACCACTTTCAAGAACTTCAATTTTATCTGTATAATTAGGTCAGTTATCTACATAGCACATACTTACACACACACAGACAGCTTGATCAACAGATGATTCTTAAAATGGCATATAAAGAAACCAGACGCACTGAACATGGCACTTCAGAACGAACACGATAAAGCATCACTGCTCTTGAGAAACAAATGAACAATGAGTCCCCTATATTTAATAAACAACACTCCATAAAATTGTAATTGTTTTTAAGCAGATGCTTACAAGTCAAGCAATCTCTTTTAAACAAATAAAATGGTAAGACACCAAATTAACAGGCTTGACATGAATACTGTCATCTGATTAGACTTGATTGCTGTCATCCAAGGGGGTCTTCTAAGTTTGATTAAACTTCTCTCTCCCCTCCCCCAAGAAGCAGGGGGGAAAAAAAAAAACAAACCAAAACCAACAAAACTTAGGTTCTTTCCTTAGGTCATATAAATCAACATTTTGCCGCTACGATGTCAATGACTGTTGATGATCTAATGCATTTGTCATTTATATTCCACTGGCATGGACAAACCATATAACATGAATGCAAATTCTTGAATACTGTAGACAAAAACAAACAAACAAAGAAACCCTAACCCACATCCTTAGCCTGAGTACCAAACCACTGAAACGTTCCTTAGCTGTATCATCTGCTTCATTATGGCTGTGCAGGTACCTCGTATACCCAAACTCTGGAATTCACAGCACAGACAAGGGATGCAAGTGGCAGGAGCCCCTCGAGCTTTGTCCCTACAAGTGGTGGAACATTAATTACCCTCTCTCTTTCAAGCGGCAAGGTGGCGGAGATGAAAGGCAAGCCCTGGAATGCGGGTAAGGATGTCAGTAAATTCTCCTCTTCCTCTGAGCGATCTCATCATCCACATATGCATTCCACTGCTGGGGATGCCAAAACAGTGACCAGTCCACCCAGAGCCCGCATCTCAGAGGCTCAAAACAAACCAAACCACGGCTTTGCCCAATAAGGTAAAACCAACGTCTCCAGTTGTGCAACATCTCAAGATGGAATGAGGAGACCTCAAGATGGTCACTTTCGAGATGTCTGTGGTGAATGGGGTTTTCTCACAACACGCAAGATCCTGCTTTAGCTCTTCTGGCACGTGATCTGGGAGACATAGGAAAGCCTGGTCTGACTTTTTCACAGCTTACCTTCACAGAGATTTTCTTAGTGACCACTTGGTTAGACACCATCCCATTATGTCTATTAGACATAACAGAGACCCTTATTATGTCCATAATAGCTATGAGACCCAAATGTGGCACCCACGTTGGAGCTTTTAAGGACTTTATTATTACCATGTGAGAACAGAGCAGGAGAAAAGAAGAGGGAAAGACAGACCCAAAAGAAAGGCATCTCCTGGCCTCACCTCTCCAGTAGTGGGTGGTTGCCCGAGATCACCATTAGTTACTATGTACATTGCAGCTGAGCAAACTCACACTGATGTCCTCCTTGAATTCCAGGAGGCATCTAAGATACAGGGCACTGAAATCTTGCACAACTGATAGACCAGCATCCACACTTCCCACTGGCACCCTTCAGCTGGTGGCCACCCCAGGTTGTCCACCATGCTAGTAAAGATGTAAATGCTACTACATTTTAGGATGCAGAAGATGAGCAAAGATCACCGCTTGCCAGGAGGGGGAGGGGAACTTCAAGTCCTTCCTTGTCCCAGGCGTGACGGGTATCGCTGATGCTGATGGCTCCTCCACAGCCACACGCAATTCTCAGGGTACTTGAATGCAGCAGCTGCCATCGTTTTGCTGTCACTGTGCCAACTTCAAGGACTATCCCCACGATAAGCACCACTTGCTGAAATCTGCACTCAATGGTGTCTGTGGCACATGAAGACTCGCAGTGGGGAATTCATATGGAAGTCAGAGGACAACTAAACACTGTTGAGCATGTTACGGAGCCCCTCAAACTAACAACTTACCGTCCTTTTTCCAGTTGGCTGTGTAGAAAGTATTTTACAAGAATCAGTAAACACACATGGACATTTATTGCAGTTGGCAAACCAGCACAAACACATAAAACCACAGAACAATAGTAAAAATAATCGCTCCTAATTCATATAAATCAATCGTCAAAAATAACTGTGCTACTTTAAGCAACAGTGAAATACCTCGGCACTTCTATTGAAGAGAGCTCCTCCTAACTGACAGCTAACTCACTGAGCAAGGGGAAAAAAAAAAAAAAACCCACCAAACCAAAAAAAACCCCAAACAACCCAAAACAAAAAAGACCTGCTAATAATTGCCTACAAAAACTAGAAAACTACCCAGCAAAGCAGCATTTTGGCTGTTGCTGAACAGGACCAACCTCTGTCCGCAGACCCTAGCTAGCCCTTCCCCATGTTCGCATTGCATCCTTACTCATTAACCTCACACAGAGATTTCAGAATGCTCAACAGATTACTAACTCCCTTTAACCTGAATTTGCTTTCCCAATGCAGGAAGAGGGTAAAGCTATGTTAAAAAGCATGCATACACTCCACAGTATGCAAGAAAAGCCCATAGTATTAAGAGATAGTGTTGAAGATGAGAAACAAAATATTCCTCGGTGCTGTGGAAATGACACTAAAATGTTAGACAAGAGAGAAAAAAAAAATTAAAGACAGACTGCAACTAAATACTAAAGTAAACTGTAATGCAGAATTACTTTTTTTTTTTTGCAATGACAGTCTCTGAAGTACCATTTTTCTATTTTTTAACCGTACTTTTTCATCAGATGTGTAAGAAACTTGAAAAACAAAAAAAAACAAAAAAAAAAAAAAGGAAAACATTTCAGCCTGATCCACTTCCCACGTTGCAGTACCATCCCCTGCCCAGTAAGCCTAGGTACTGATGTAAACACTAACTTTTGGCAGAAAGAACAACAGCTACTTGAAAGAGAGTGTCTCCATCTCTAGTACCTTCACAGATTTTATTAACGGCTTATGGCAAGTGAGGTTAGCAAGACAGAGCTGATGCTACATGAGATGGAAGAGTTACGCCACCAGTGAAGCAAGGGGAGCTCGATCACTTTTCAGCAGTAATGAGCCATTAGGTTGGCTTAGCTCAATGGGAAACTTCCCCCTAAGTTTGCCAATGTTATTTGTGACTAATAATCTTCTCTGCATTCAATTTAAAAGATAAAATGGCAGACAGGTAAGCATACAACAGTATACATCAAAGTCAGATCCTAATGGTCAAGAAGTGCTACCAAATGTATGTATATATATTGCTACAAACCTTGTGATACTGGGTGGGAAGCTTTCTGTAAACTCCTCCTTCTCGAGTCAAATGATTAGATAACAATTTCTGATCTCTCTCAGTGAATTTCTTTCTTCTTCCTGACAAGAGGAAAACCAACTCACACCCCCCCCCCCAAATGCAACCTCTGCAGGCTCCAACACTGAAATACCATTTCCTCCCTGAACTCTTAACAAAACCAACTCATTTCTGTAATCTAAACATATTTAACCAAATCTCGGTATACTTTCAAGACCGACTTTGGCAGTATCATCAGATAACACACTACAGAAATTTTGCAATCTGAATTTCTATTCAGTGACCAGAATCTAAGAAGATGCAATCTTTCACAACAAAAATCTGTTTTTAAAAAATTAAACATTAATCTTCAAATTCAGAAAACTGAGATTTTATTTGCCCTGCCATGTTTATTTCTACCAGACAGTGCTTACCTAACACAGTATTTTCAAGATTTTATTCCATTTCAACTGTACCAAGTGCAAAATTCTGACTCGTTTCAGTAACAGCAAATGTATTCATGATTAGTTGTTTCTTTATGCCTTTAAACCTATGTATTAATAGATACTGTTCTACATTCTGTACCATATAAATAGGGACAATATGATGTATAACCAAACCGTATTAACAGTTTTATTACCTGAGAGAATCACTTAAGAGTTGTTACACACACATACACAGAAGTAAAATCACCTAGCGAAAGCTCAAAGTCCTGTCCTCAGCTCAAGAGAGAAAAACTACCTACCATGCCGTCACTACTGCACAGCAATTGTCTTTGTGTCTCATCCACTTCTTCTAACAATTTGAGAAGAGATGTAAAGGGGAAAGGGGTTATATACTGACTATGCCTGTGGATCCCGCATTAGCACGTTAACAAAAATGATGAAGTTCAAAGATGTCCCTCAAATTGTGAGACCTACACCCCTCCTAATCATATAGCACAGCGACCTGGGACAGGGCTATAAGGAAAATGGAGTTTATTAGAAGAGAGACCATTTAGGGTGAAGGCAGATGTGTAGGCAATCTTCTAGCCTGGCTGGAAGGGGACTGCTTTCAGGTTGCACTGTCAGGAATTGCAACACTTGCAGGGTCTCTGAGAATAAAGTGGATCCTGAGAAACAGAATTGGAACATAACTGGAAATCCAGGCTTATCTCACTTCCCAGGCTAATAACTACTCCCTGCCTTGCAGTTGCTCGAACTTATTTTTGATAGAAACTTGGAATTGACTT